CCCCCCCCGGTGGCGGCCGAGGTGGACAAGATCCGGGAGCAGCTGGCCGAGCACCGCGCTCAGGGGCTGGAGCTGGACAAGCTGCTGCCCAGCTTCTCAGCGCTCTGTGCCCGCGGCGAGGAGCTGATCAGCCGGGCGGCCCACGACGACCCGGCCGCTCAGGGTGAGGGGGGGGGGGGTCTGAGGGGGTTAAGGGAACACCTTCGAATCACAGACAGAAATATGGCAACTCAAAGGGTGTCTGACAGAAATGTGAACCTGCCTCCTCAGCAAGTGGAGCCCGCTCAGGCCCTTCCTGTAAACGGCCTCAGTCCAGCTTATTGACACCCAGATATGTGTATGAAGGGATGCTGCAGTCTACGGTAGACTTGTTTAAAACCAGAGTCCCTGCCTCCATTTTTAATTCTTCTGCAGGTTGTTTTGAGCAAAATCCTGAAAGCAGGTTGTGTTTTATGGCTCGTTTCGGATTCACAAACCCAGATTGGAGGGATGAATTTGTTTAGATGGAGTGAGCGACGGGGGCTTGTGAGTGGGCTCCAGACAGCTCTGGGCTCTGAGAGAACCAGGGCTGGAGGAGAACAAGCAGAGGCAGGACAACACTGCCGTCTTTGTTTGGCCTCTGGAGGACTTTGCTTCTGCTCTGGTGAGACTCAAAGGCCCGTTCTGTGCTCTGCCCCCCCCCCCCCCGCCCCCCGTCCCCCCCCCCCCCCCCCACCAGCCGTCCGGTCCCGCCTCCTGCGCCTGCGCTCGCTCTGGGACGAGATCCGGCAGCGGGCCGAGGAGCGGGAGGGCAAACTGAACGACGTGCTGGACCTGGCGGGGAAGTTCTGGGCCGACGTGGCGGCGCTACTGAGCACGCTCAGAGACTCCCAGGACATCGTGCGGGAGCTGGAGGACCCCGGCGTGGACCCCTCGCTCATCAAGCAGCAGATCGAGGCTGCGGAGGTACGGCGGGGTGGCGCCAGAGGGGGGGGGGGGTCACCGGGGGGGGTGGCGGCGCTGACTCAAAGGGGGGGGGCGCTCTGTGCACTCAGGCCATCAAGGCGGAGACGGACGGCCTGAGGGAGGAGCTGGAGTTCGTCAGGACCCTCGGGGCTGACCTCATCTTTGCCTGCGGGGAGACCGAGAAGCCGGAGGTCAAGAAGACCATCGACGAGGTCAGGAGGGTCTCAGCGAGGCTGTTTGTGTCAGTGTGTGGACCCGCTAACGCCTCTCCCCCCAACAGATGAACGCCGCCTGGGAGGGGCTGAACCGCACATGGAGGGAGAGGATGGAACGGCTGGAGGAGGCCATGACGGCCTCTGTTCAGTACCAGGACGCTCTGCAGGTCAGTCCCAGACCTCGTCCAGACCGGATAGCCCCCCTTGATGCCGTGCATTAACCCCTCCCCCCTTTCCTTTCCCCCCAGTCCATGTTCGACTACCTGGACAACGCTGTGATCAAGCTGTGTGAGATGTCGACGGTGGGCACCGAGCTGGGAACCGTCAAGCAGCAGATCGAGGAGCTCAAGGTTTGTAGGCTTGGTCCTGGAGGCCTGGTCCTTCAGACCTGGTCCTGGAGGCCTGGTCCTGGTCCTGCCGGCTCTGACCCCCCCCCCCCCTCTGGGCAGCAATACAAGGTGGAGGTGTACCAGCAGCAGATCGACATGGAGAAGCTGTGCCACCAGGGGGAGCTGCTGCTGAAGAAAGTGTCGGACCAGACGGACCGGGACATGATCCAGGAGCCCCTGACGGAGCTGCGCCACCTCTGGGAGAACCTGGGGGACAAAATCACCCAGAGACAGGTGGAGCCCCCTCACGTGGCGGCGACGAGGCCGGTTGTTTCCAAAGCCGTGCAGCTCGTGAGCTAACGGTACTGCTTGCTGTTTCCCCCCCACAGCACAAGCTGGAGGGCGCCCTGCTGGCCCTGGGCCAGTTCCAGCACGCCCTGTCCGAGCTGCAGTCCTGGCTGAGCCACACTCACACCACCCTGGACACGCAGCGGCCGGTCAGCTCCGACCCCAAAGCCATCGAGATCGAGCTGGCTAAACACCACGTACGTCGTTTTTTTCCTTTACTTGAGCTTTACTGACTTCAGTGTCCTGGCAGGACAGGAAAAACCCTCCAGAGATCAGTAACTGGACCCACCTTTGGGCAGGCAGGGTTTGGTTTCATCCTCTTTTATTGGTAATTCTGTGGGAAGCAGGTGGTCACAAAGGTCTGCTTTCATATAAAAAATGGGCTCAAATCCATTCGAAGAGCAGATTTAGACTCTTATTTTTAATTTTCTGGATCATTAGCCACCCTAAGAATCAACTAAGTCTAATTTTCTTTGAGAAAAGATTAGAGTTGCCCTCCAAAAAGTTAGACAAAGGACACTGAATCTCTCACAGCATCCAAAACTTATTGGAACAAGCTTTTTGGTCAGTTTCTCGTTGATTTTTAACTAACAACAGTAACAAACTGAATCCAGCATGACATCACTGCTTATCACTGCGCATGTTTCAGATGAACAGACCAGAATAGTCTAATTTTCTATAAGAAAAGGACAAAAAGGAAGAAAGTAAAGGACACTGAATCTCACATAGCATCCCAAACCTATTGAGAAGTTTCATAAACACAAAAAGATCAACCGGGATGACCTTTTTGGTCAGATTCTCTTCTATTAGGGACAAATACAAACTAAATCCAGCATGGCATCACTGACAGTCCCTGCACAGGACTCAGTCTGGACAAACTCAGCTCAGCTCAGCTCAGCCTGAGGCCTCACAGGTGCTCTTCATTCTGCACAAAAGCTGCTAAACAGAGAGCAGAAACTCACTGGAAGTGACCTTATATGAGCGTTAGCTTCATAGCTAAGCGACCAGGCTAAATACAAACCAGAGTCCAGTTATGGATGGAGCCCTTTGCCCCCTCCCCACTCCTCCTGATCCCTAACCCCCCCCTCCTGTCGTTCTCTGGCAGGTGTTGCGTAACGACGTGCTGTCCCATCGCGCCACCGTGGAGACGGTGAACGGCGCCGCCGCCGAGCTGCTGGAGTCTTCCCCGGGGGACGAGGCCAGCCACCTGCGGGACCAGCTGGACCAGCTCAACCACAGCTGGGAGAGTCTGCTGCTCAAGACCCAGGAGCGCCAGAAGCTGCTGGAGGCCGCCCTGCAGCAGGTAGGAGGGCCGGGCGCCCTTTTCATGGACGCCACGGCGCCGCCTGGAGCTCTGAGACATGTCGTAACCATGACAAAACGCCGCGTGTCTGCAGGCTGAAGGCTTCCACGGCGAGCTGGAGGAGTTCCTCCAGTGGCTGAGGAGGACCGAGAGCCAGCTGGCCGCCGCCAAGCCCACCGGCGGCCTCCCCGAAACGGCCCGGGAGCAGCTGCAGCAGCACACGGTAGGCGGCGCTCACAGCCAGAGGGGAGGAGTGCCACGCTTTGTGTGACTACCTGCCACCTGATTGGTGGAACTCAGTCAAACCCAAACAAACAGCTTTAGATTGGTCACAGATTTTCTTTTGTAAACATAAGTGGGAAGTCTGTTTAAACTCCTCTTACGGGGACAGTTTTTAGCTGGGCCGCAGAGTTATTGGATGCCTCCAGTGTAGCGACCCCCCCCTCCTCCCCCCCTACAGCTCACTTTCAAACTTTAATGGCCTCCTTGGTTCTGGACCGGCCCGAGCCGAGGCGCTGGCCCTCCCCGGCTCACTTCTGTGTCCTCTGCAGGAGCTCCAGGCCCAGCTGGCCCAGCGGGCCGACCTGTACCACCGGCTGCTGGACCAGGGCGAGTCCATGCTGCTGGCCCGGGGGGGGGAGGAGCCGGGCCCCGGCACCACCCAGACCCAGCAGAACCTGGCCATGCTCCAGAACAAGTGGGCCAGCCTGAACGCCAAGATGGACGACCGCAGGGTGGGTGTGGGGCTGCCGTGGGGCTCCTGTGGGGCCGATGGCTGCTCAGGTCGGGCCTCTAACTCTAACCTGAAACCTCCCAGGGGAAGCTGGAGGAGGCCGTCTCCCTGGCGACGGGCTTCCAGACCTCCCTGCAGGACACCATCAACTGGCTGACCCAGACCGAGCAGACCCTGAACATGGCGCAGCCCCCCAGCCTCATTCTGGACACCGTCCTCTTCCAGATCGACGAGCACAAGGTTGATTTGGGGTTTTTGTTTGCATTTTCCCTTCATGTTTTAGAGTTTAGACCCAGACTTGGACTAAACTTTTTTTTCCCTTTGGACGACTCCTTCAGGGACATTCAGGTTCTAGTAACTTAACAGGACAGAAACAGCTCACAAAGGGCAAAATTCAGTACAGAAAATTAGATACCAGAGCGAAAAAATAGCACCAAAATTTTTTTTTTTTTTTTTAAATCTTTTTACATTTTTAAAAAACTTTAATTACATTTTCATGTGAAAAAAATAATAAATCTAAAGAAAATATAGAAGTGAAAGTGACCAGTGACATTAAATTAGATAAGATTGTTACTTAACTGTGGTTACTGCACACATGATCATTTGCAGATAAGTTTAGCATTTTGGTTTTGAGAGTAGAGAAAAACAACAGAGAGAAGTGATTAATTTAACCTTAACTTATCGAAACATTAAACTAAAAGAAGAAATACCAAGAAGAATCAAACAAAAAGACTAAACCTGGAGGTGAAAGTGGAGTGCGAGCAGGAGCCTGACCGGCCGGCTGTGTGTGTCCAGGTGTTTGTGAACGAGCTGAACACCCACAGGGAGCAGGTCCTGGCTCTGGAGAAAGCCGGCTCCCAGCTCCGCTTCGCCAGCCTGAAGCAGGACGTGGTCCTGATCAAAAACCTGCTGCTCAGCGTCCAGGCCCGCTGGGACAAGCTGGTCCAGAGGTCGCTGGACCGCGGCCGCCACCTGGACGAGGCCCGCAAACGGGCCAAGCAGGTACTGCCCCCCCCACCCCGACCCATGCAGCTCTCTGCTCCCTCTGAGGCCCACAGACCAGCATCCAGAGTATGAATGTCAAACCCTTCCTCCCCCAGTTCCACGAGGCCTGGAGGAAGCTGACGGACTGGCTGGAGGAAGCCGAGAAAAGGCTGGACTCAGAGCTGGAGATTTCCAACGAGCCGGACAAGATCAAAGTCCAGCTGACCAAACACAAGGTAAAGAGGGCCAAAGCCGGCTCTGCCTCTGGGACCTCTGACCTCTAAGGCCTCTCACAGACGCATTGCCTCACAGCAGACCATATTTGGTCCTGGTGGATCGAGTTTTTCTGCTGAGTCAGCAGTTTTATGAATTTAGGACTTTTTTACCCGCCCAAATAAGCTGTCAAACTTCTTTTTTTCATGTGTCTCAATCCTGGTGATGTTTTATGAGCCTGTTTTCACTTAATATGCTCAATACAAACCAATGAATTCTCCCCACATGGAGTCTAAACGGCCTCATGAACTGATGGTTATTACACAGTGATGAGCGATTTCGTATTTAAAACTTTTCAAAAATGGCAGAGGGTTTTCTTTCCATGAAGCCATTTTCCATCACATCTGTCGTGTTTGCTGTGAACTGGGTGGAGTTCAAAGGTCGTCCTCGTGCCGTCCTCTGCAGGAGTTTCAGAAGGCGCTGGGCTCGAAGCAGCCCGTCTACGACACCACCGTGAGGTCCGGAAAGGCCATGAGGGACAAAGCCCAGCTGCCCGCCGACCAGCAGAAGCTGGACCACCTGGTGGGGGAAGTCCGGGACAAGTGGGACACCGTCTGCGGGAAGAGCGTGGAGAGGTAAAGGGGGCGGGACGGCGTGAGGACCCCCGGCTAACCACTGACCCACCAGCTGACCGCCGCCTTGCTTTCCTCAACCCAGGCAGCACAAGCTGGAGGAGGCGCTGCTGTTCTCAGGCCAGTTCGCAGAGGCTCTCCAGGCGTTGGTGGACTGGCTGTACCGAGTGGAGCCCCAGCTGGCTGAGGACCAGCCCGTCCACGGGGACCTGGACCTGGTGTCCAACCTCATGGACGCACACAAGGTCTGTGGCATGCAGGGGGCGCTGTTATCTGTCAGCTATCAGCTGTTAGCTGTTTGCTGTTAACAGTTAACTGTTAGCTTTTTACTGTCAACTGTTTGCTCTTAGCTGTTAGCGGTTAGCTGCTCGCTGTTAGCTGTTTTCTGTTAGCTGTAAATTGTTAGCTGTTTGATATTTACTATTTGCTATTAGCTGTAAGTTGTTAGCTGTCTGGAGGAGCCCCCATCACGCTGTTTTTGTACAGGTTTTCCAAAAGGAGCTGGGAAAAAGAACCGGCAGCGTTCAGGCGCTGAAGCGCTCGGCTCGGGACCTGATGGACACGGGCCGCGATGATACCGCCTGGGTCAAAGTCCAGCTCCAGGAGCTAAGCAACCGCTGGGACACAGTGTGCGCCCTGTCCGTCACCAAGCAGACCCGGCTCCAGCAGGCGCTCAAACAGGTCAGAACACGACCCGTTTGGGCTCAGATACAGGCTCATATTATCCTGTTTGGGCCACGATATGGGCTCATATTGGCCCTCCTGGCCTCAGATATGGGCTCAGATTGGCCCGTTTGGGCTCATATTGGCCCTATTGGGCTCAGGTGTGGCCTCATATTGGCCCGTTTGGGCTCAGATATCGACTCAGATTGGCCCGTTTGGGCTTATATTGGCCCTCCTGGCCTCAGATACAATGGGATCAGTTTGGGCCTAGATTGGCCCCGCCTGCCCCACAAACCGGCTCCTTCCCCCTCAGGCGGAGGAGTTCCGCACGGCGGTGCAGATGCTGCTGGAGTGGCTGTCGGAGGCGGAGCAGACGCTGCGTTTCCGCGGTGTCCTGCCTGAGGAGGCGGAGACTCTGCAGGCGCTGCTGCACACGCACCGAGACTTCATGGGCACCGTGGAGGAGAAGAGGACCGACGTGAACAAGGCCGCCGGCATGGGGGAGGGCATCCTGACGCTGTGCCACCCAGACTCCATCACCACCATCAAGCACTGGATCACCATCATCAGGGCGCGATTCGAGGAGGTGAGTCGGAGCCCCAGCCCGATCAGGAATATGCAAAGCCCCACACCCACTCACCTGACTTTGTAAAAACACAAGCAGGTCCTCTTATTTCCCCCAAAGCAGGTTAGAACATACAGAGAAGCATCTTTATGTTGGAGCAGCTGAGTTATGAGACAGATATTACCCATTCAATAAGTATTAACCTATCAGAATATGCTATACGACAAATATAACCGACATAAATTGTAAGACAGATGTAACCTATTAAGATACATTATAAGAAAAATATAAACAAATGTTGTACAAAAAGTATAAGCTATAAAAACATTTAATAGAGATTAGATTAAAAAATATTATAAAAGAGATATAAGGTATACAAATATTATAGAGATATAAGATATAAAAAATATATTTGTAAAAATGATAAAAGGTATAGAAATATGTTATATATGTATGATACATAAGATATAAAAAATAGATAAGAAAAGAGATATAAGGTATAACAATATCTTAAAGAGACATAAACTATAAAAAATATCATAACACAGATATAAGATACATTATGTTAGATATAAGCCATAGAAATGTGTTATAAAACAGATTTAACAGGTCTAACGTGAATTAATGAGTGACTTTGCTGTGCAGGTGCTGACGTGGGCCAAGCAGCACGAGCAGAGGCTGGAGACAGCTCTGTCTGAGGTGCTCAGCAACGCCAACCTGCTGGAGGAGCTGCTGTCCTGGCTGCAGTGGGCCGAGACCACTCTGGTCCAGAGGGACACGGAGCCCCTGCCTCAGGACATCCCGCAGCTCAAGACGCTCATCACCGAGCACCAGGTGGGCGGTCCCCAGCCTCCCCAGCCCTCTAAGCCCCTCCCCTTAGCCATTATAAGCCCCTCCCCCCTGAGGCACTCTAAGAAAGTGAAAGTTTTGATTATTAAAGCTTTGTGTCCTGATTTAGATAAATATTTAAATTAGCTATATAAATGTAAATGTATATAATGAATATAAATTAGATACATATTTAGATAGATATAAATGTTCAGATAAATAATAGATAAATTAAGTTTAGTTTTAGATCATTTAAGTTTTTTCATTCTTAATATTTTTCTTTGTGTTTTTTTTTCATTTTCTTCTTGGATGATCTTTTACCTTCCATCAGAAGTTCAGATCCTTCCAGCCATTTTTTATTTTATTTTTTTCCCCATGAAGCATAAATAAGGTCTTTTCTACTACAGGTAAACGTCTCATAGTGAAAATGACCTGAACAGGTGACCTTATGCGAAGGAAATGTTTTCAAGCACAAAGAAGTCCAGAGTTGATTTAAAGGAAAAAGACTGTTTGAAGTTTGAGAAGGATTTTTTAATGTGTTATATCTAAAGAAAGCAAACAAAAAGCGAAAGTTTTGATTATTAAAGATTTGTCATTTCTGACTTAGAAGAAGAGAATTATAGTTTTTTGTCATTTTTCTTTGTATTCTTTTGCTTTTCCTTGAAGATATTTTACCTTCTGTCAGACGTTAAGATCCTTCCAGCTAGTCTTTATTTTTCCTCCATGAAGCAAAAATAAAGTCTTTTTTGCTCTGAACAACTTTCAAGCTTTGAGCAGCTTCTCATGAGGATCCATCCCAGTTAAACGCTTCATTTATTTAACCTGTGAGGCTGTTTTCCTCGGACTGTGAGCTGGAGGCCTTTTCCAGCCGTCTGTGTGACTCATGCTCTGTTTGTTCTGACCCTGGTTGTGGTTTTCAGATGTTTATGGAGGAGATGACCAGGAAGCAGCCAGACGTCGACAAAGTGACGAAGACCTACAAGAGGAAGCCGGCCGAGGCTCCCAGCAGCCTGGCCGAGAGGAGAGGAGCCCGTACGTCCTCCGGGCGTCCGCCCGCTCGCCGGCGCCGTCGGCGCCGTCTCCCCCCCCCCCAGCCGGCTGAATCCTGTGTTCTGTCTGCAGGCAAACAGCAGCAGCAGCAGCAGCCGGCGGCGGCCATGCAGCTGCAGGGGGGGAACCCCCGGCTCAACCAGCTGTGTGCCAGGTGGCAGCAGGTGTGGCTGCTGGCTCTGGACCGCCAGCGGAAGCTGAACGACGCCTTGGACCGGCTGGAGGAGGTAGAGCCGGTTCTGCTCGGCCCCGATCGGCTCAGCTCGGCCCAGACTAACACCTGTGACCCGTCCGCAGCTCAAGGAGTTTGCCAACTTTGACTTCGACGTGTGGAGGAAGAAGTACATGCGCTGGATGAACCACAAGAAGTCCCGAGTCATGGATTTCTTCAGGCGCATCGACAAGGACCAGGACGGGAAGATCACCCGGCAGGAGTTCATCGACGGCATCCTGGCCTCCAGTACGACCCGTTTCTGTCCTCCTCCATTCAAAAAGTCTTTAGACTCAGACTTTATGTATCCCTTTGGATGACTGTTCAGGGACATTCAGGTTCCAGAAGCTTAACAAGACAGAAGCAGCTCACAGAGGGCAAACAGAGAAAATTCATAACAGAATATTATATTACAATATTATAATATATTACAATATATTAGAATATTACATACACTTATGGATTTATCAAATTTAAAGAAAAATAGAGAAATGAAAGACTAAAACTCCTAAGAAAGTATAGAAGTGAAAGAATAAAACTAACCAAATATGAGTGTAAAAATTAAACTTAGAAAATCTAGAAGTGAAGGAATAACAGTCCTTAGAAATCTAGAAATAAAACACTAAAACTCCTGAGAAAATCTAGAAGTGAAAGAATAAAACTAACTAAATCTAAAAGTGAAAGAACAGAACTAGGAAACTCTGGACGTGAACGTGCCCGGTGACATCATGCGATGGCGAGCGATGGCGGCCTGCGCGTGCCTGCTGTGATGCCCCGCCCCCTCCTCCCCTGTGCAGAGTTTCCCACCAGTAAGCTGGAGATGACGGCGGTGGCCGACATCTTCGACCGGGACGGGGACGGTTACATCGACTACTACGAGTTCGTCGCCGCTCTGCATCCCAACAAGGACGCGTACCGGCCCACCACCGACGCCGACAAGATAGAGGACGAGGTGAGCAGCCCCCCCCCCCCCCCTTTTACCCCACCCTCCCCCCCCCCCCCCCCCCCCGGCGCTGACCTGTTCTGTGGCTCTGCAGGTGACCCGGCAGGTGGCCCAGTGCAAGTGTGCCAAGAGGTTCCAGGTGGAGCAGATCGGAGAGAACAAATACCGAGTGAGTGCCGGAGCCCTCGACATGTTTAAGAACAGAAAAAGAAAGACAGAAATCTGTATGAGCCACTCAGAAATGTGTTCATCGTAACTGCCTGTTATCTGTTTGCCAACATGGCGTCTGTTTTCCCCCTCATGGCCTTAACTTTAATATGAACTTGGGAAAATAAGAGCTCATACACACATCTGGTTCCTGGGAAGGCAAAGGGCTGATTTATTTATTTATTTGATTGCATTATAGTTTATTATATTATTATTATTATTATTTGATTATTTATTATTATTATTTATTCTGGATGTTTTTTCAACTTTGTTAAATGACAACAACCAGTTTGTGTTTGATTTTGATTCAATTCTCTGGTTTGACAAGGTTTTTAAGTGTGGTATATCTAAAGAAAGCAACAGAAAGTCAAGTTTTGATTATTGAATATTTTTCTCCTGATTTTTTTCTCCTGATTTTTTGTTCTGTCAGAAGCTCAGGTCCTTCCAGATAGTCTATATTTTCTCCCATGAAGCAAAAATAAAGAACTTTCTACTCTAAACTACTTTCAATAAGGTCTCAGGGGACCTTAGATGAAGGGGAAATATTTTTAAGCCCAAAGAAGTCCAGAGTTTGTTTAAAGGACTCAGACTGTTTAAAGTTGAGCTTTGTTAAACCCTCTTTAGTTATTTAACCTGTGAGGGGGTTTTCCTCCGACTGTGAGCTGTGTGAGTCTGTGCAGCTTTTAAGGAGCCTCCATCCTCATGTCTGTGTGACTCATGTTCACATGAGGCTAAATCCATCAGCAGCTGGATTATTTAGTCTCATTCAGTCTGACCACACAGGCCTCCGACTCCCAGCTAGAATAACTCTTGATGCTTGTTGTTGCTTGTGATGCTTTATGGACAGATTTCACTACATGTTGTTTCACTCTGGCTCTGTTTCTTTCTCTTTGTGTCCCTCCGCTCCCCGTCTGCCGGATTTATTGTAGTTCTTCCTCGGAAACCAGGTAAAGTGACTCCCTCGCCGTCGCTGCCGCCGCAGCTCTCACCGCCCGCCGTGTTTGAGCTGTGATTTGTTTGTGTTGAGAGTGACATCATTTAACCCAAATATTTGTAATGCATTTTACATTTAGACAGCTTTAGCCTTCCGTAGCTGTAGCCGTACCTCTGGCATCTTTTTGTCTCTCATTTGGAGGCGTTTCCTGACCTCTGACCTCTTTGTGTTTCTCATTTGGAGGCGTTTCCTGACCTTTGACCTCTTTTTGTCTCTCATTTGGAGGTGTTTCCTGACCTCTGACTTCTGTTTTAATCTCATTTGGAGGGGTTTCCTGAGCTTTGACCTTTGTTTAAATCTCTCTGTTTGGGTTGATTGTGACAAACTGCATGCTTAAGCTGCTAATTAGCGGTTTTGGAGATGGCCGTCGAGCCCGAGCCGCTTGGGGGATCCCAGCTAACCCGAACGGGACCAGTGGTGTCCTGCTCAGTTGGCTGCTGGGTGACCAGCGCATGGCGTTGCCGTGGCAGCATGCTACTGGCGGGAGCCTGCCATTCCAGACGGTTTCCCCTCATTTCTCGCCCGTTTCCTCCCCAGTTCGGCGACTCCCAGCAGCTGCGTCTGGTCCGGATCCTGCGCAGCACGGTGATGGTGCGAGTCGGAGGCGGCTGGATGGCGCTGGACGAGTTCCTGGTGAAGAACGACCCGTGCAGAGGTGAGCGCCGCCTGCAGGACGCCGCAGGACGCTGCAGCTTTCAGGCCGGTCAGAAAAACAGGAGAAAACGGCATCTTACAAAGTTCAGTCTGTTTTTAAAGTAAATGAGGCTGGAATGTCTAAAAACAGGAAGTTAAAATGAAACAATCAGCTGTGTTGCATTCTGGGACTTTTTTGGTTCAATTTAACAGAAAAATTCAGAGAAAGAGAGGCGACGCTCTGAGAGATTGTGAATCAAAAAGAGTAAAGCTAGAAGTCTAAATCTTGTTTCTGATTAATGTTTATGGACACAAAGTTATTTGATATTATGTGAAATGACTAATGATAAGAATAATTAAGTGCAATAGAAGCGGTGATAACCTAATTCAATTGAATTCTTTAACGTGTTCTTTTATTATTTTTTGATTAACTTTGTATTCATCCATTGTTTCCCTGTTCATGAAGAAAATTCAACAGAAGCAAGACCATTTCTCAAGAAGTTTAAATAAAAAGAAAGGAAATTTATAGATCAGATGGAGAAAAGAAAGAAAATTAAATTATTCATAATTAAAATAGAAAGTTTTTCAAGAATTTAAATTAAAGCAGAAAAATGTGCTAACTTTCATATTATCATTATTGACATTATTGAGGATTATTTGTATTTCTGTAAATTTCAAAAATTAATTTCTTTACTTCCTCATTAATGCAAAGAGAGAAATGTAATTTATTCCAAGGCAAACAAAGTCTAATGAAAGTGTTCTTTTTTAAAAAAATTATCTCTGGGGCATTTTTCATAATTTGATCCAAATATTTGTAACGTATTTTACATTTTGACAGCTTTAGGCCTCCGTAGATGTTCTGCTGAGTCTGAATGGAGATACAAGATGATCTCCATTTCCCACAATTAGTTTGTCTCTCATTTGGAGGCGTTTCCTGACCTCTGACCTTTGTTTAAATCTCATTTGGAGGCGTTCCCTGACCTCTGACCT